TTAAACGGAACGAATATCTCCGAATGCTCTAGCTATGTGTATCTAGGTCGGGAGGTCAACATGATGAACGACCTAGCTCTGGAGCTGTGCAATAGGAAACGCGCCGCGTGGGGAGCATTCAAGAATATCGAGGGAGTAGTGAAAAAGACAAAGAACATCCGGCTCCGCGCTCACCTTTTCGACACTGCTGTTCTTCCTGCTTTGACGTAGGCCTCAGAGACTTGGACTCTACGAAAGCAGGATGAGCATGCTGTCAAAGTTACTCAACGCGCTTTGGAAAGGACGATGCTCGGTATTTCCCTGAACACGCATGTGAAGAAGGGAATCCGGAATTCCGAGCGCCGCCAACGAACAAAGATCAGGGATGCCGTTGGCCATGTCAAGAAATCGACGATCAGGTGGGCTGGACACGTTATGCGATATGGTGATGACCGTTGGACCAGGGCGGTTACTGAGTGGGTCCCTCGGGTCATCAAACGTACTCCAGGACGGCCGCCAACAAGATAGTCAGACTTCTTCACGGAAGCTCTGAACGAAAGGAACAGGTGAATTCCTTTTACTCATTTGCTTGGCTTTACTATTATCACCCTTTTATTTACTTGACTTAACAATTTCATCTATTGATTATTTGAAGCACGAATTGATGAACAACCTATGACCGATGTCCTTTTCTGCAGATTCTGGAAGATGAACAAACTTGCTTAGTTTTCATGCCATCAAGGTCACATCGGTTCGGTCTATCGTGCTCATCGCAACTATATGGTTGAATCTGATTAGCTCTATACGATCACTGGCTCTAGACAACCTCATCGGCTCAAGATGTACCTCGATGGCTCACGATTCCATGGCATTGTCTTCGCCTTGTTTTTATTAGGAATTCTACACCGGTCTGCCTATTAGGTTCTTGCCTGCCTTATCGGCTGAAGGTTTAGTGATGACCATTAGTGTCGCCCAAGCATGCCACAATGCACGTAAACTCACTGTGTTAGCCTTAGTAAGCTGCCTCTTACTCCAACCAAGGTAGCATTGTGCTGACTCCAAAAAACACTTATCCAAATTCCAAATCCAATTGTTTTTGGAAAAAAATTCTGAACAACTTGTTGTTCAATTATCAAATTATGAGATTATGATGAGCGCTCGGACGCCGTGTGTCGTGACGAATGTACGATCTTGTTATACTCCCATTCCGAAGGACGAACCGGAAGGATGCCATGCGCCTCGGGCCACAAGGTCCCCACGCGAAAGATTTGACGTGGTGCTATCGATGTCTGGTACTAACGCGGCGGACTGGTTATGTAAATGCATCAGCTCGTGCCTTCCTATATTTACCTACTTTCGATATTGCTTCAATTTCCTTTTATTAATTACATAAACCTTGAGTTATACCAGAGTAGTCTAGTCTCTGTAAGCCTCAGGAAAAGGAAATTATAGTAAGTAGGTATGCTTCATCTCTTTACGTCTATCTTGTCTACTCCTTGGATGTATTTTATTTGCGCACATCATTAGTTCTTGATCTTGGCAGTGTTGATGCTCTCCTGGTAATTTCCACTATGTGAAGATGTCATTCCCTTACCACTTATTTAGTCTATCCATATACTTGTCTCGCCACGTATTTAGCCTCTCCGTGTATTGTCTTGTTATATGTATGCCTTGCCGTATATTTAGCCTTGCCATATGTATGTAGCCTTAGCACGTGATTTAGCAGTGCCATAATATTGAGCCGTGCCTTGATGTTGAGCCTCACCAGTATTTGTGAAATAAGAAGATAAACGTATATTGATGTGCTCGTGTAATGTAGGAGATGTATGTTGTATAGCAAGAATTTGGGTCAGTGCTTGAGAAGGACGATAACACGGGAGCAGTGACCAGGCAGAGGTGGTAGATAGGTTTTAACATTTGTGGTGATGAGTACTAAAAACACTGATGCTCCGCCCGTGCGGGCTGTCGCTCTGCTTCGTGAGCACCTTTTTCACCATGAATATGTTTTCGTCGGTGAACGGGACTTCCCAATGACGTAGCAGTTTTGTGTGCCAACCTTTCTCTTAACTTCAGCCTGCTCACTCGGGAAATCACTTTCTGACTATATAAGGTCCTTAATGTGCAAATGATGCTTTACAACTTGGCCAAGAAAACATTATGAGAATATCCATTCCTTTCGCCATTTTATGCGCAGAGGGAAGCTCACTGCTACGCAGACTTTCGCCCTGCTTCCTTAACATTTCTTCTTAGTGTAACCGTAGGCCTCTTATGTCTACTCCTCCGATCTGCAGTTGTTCCCAACTCTTGAAAGCGTCTTATGGTTGAATATGCCAGCTGCCTTGTTTCTTTGAGTCGTCTCTAGATGTCCCGTGCCAAAAGTACTTGTAAATGCAAAATGATGATTGATTCACGGGGTGTTGACGCTTCCATTATTAATGTAATCCACCTTGTAAAATGGAAGAAACCGAAGGAAATTTTATAAACTTAGAAAAGATCGGTGTGAGCGTTAGCGCGCGCTGTCGTCAAAATTTTGGCTCACCCTATAGTTCTTCTTCCTACTTATAAATCTATAAGGGAAGCAAAAGAAAGAAAGGGCGAGAGGCAAAAAGGAAAGAAGCCCTATCTAAATCGTTTTTTGACAGCGTCCCTCGTGCCATCCTGGGAGTCACAGTTCATTCCAGTGAGGAACCTCAGGAAGCGTTTTATCGCGAATTGTGCCTTCAAGATCAAATTGAACGCGGTTCCTAATTGAACAAGTTAATAATGCATTCGCCAATTCAAGAATAAGATACAAAAAAGATTCATAACACTCGTTAATCAATTTTTATACACAACGATCATCGCCACAATAATTATTAACAAACTCAGTATTGCATCTCAAGTCATGTGCATCTTTGGCTGAAATATGCCTCAAGTGTCTACTGTTAAGCGTAAGTCAGCCACACAATCACTGGTACGAGCTCAAGTGAGGAGAAAAGTGAGTCAATTATTTTCTCCGGGCATAAAGAATTTCCTAGTTTACCCTGTACTGATATTCACTTTTCTATATACTATATACATGACGAAGTTATAAATGAGACACAGAAGTGAGGTCATTCAGTTGGGAGTCAATCGTTGAAAATTCATCCATAGAATGGGTTGGACGGCATCGGCACGCACTGACTTATTAAGCCATTATGTGTGAGATTCTGGTAAGCTCCACAACAGTACACGCTGGCTCCATTGTCGTTTGGATGTGTCTGAGAAATAGGTAACGATCAAGTTATCCAGAGTGCTTATAATACAGTAAGCAGCAGAAAGACATACATTCGTTAGGCAAAGCAACCAAAGGAACCCAAATTACTAAGCGAAATGCATATGTCATGATATGATCGTTGTACAGCAAGGTCCGAGCAATGCAGCGATTTCTTACAGGTACTTTACCCAAANAAATGCATATGTCATGATATGATCGTTGTACAGCAAGGTCCGAGCAATGCAGCGATTTCTTACAGGTACTTTACCCAAAGGATGTAGGAACTTTCCATACGGGTGCATGTGAAATTCATATTACTAACACTATCGCCAAACTGTTCTCTAACCCTGATTTCTTGAACTATGTACTCCTTATGGTGCGTGAAAAGTACGCGACCAAATGAAAAGGCAATTTTACTGCATAGGATATTCTATGCTATCCTCGTGCTGTTCATTTCGGAGGTGAAATGCACAAACATCCCGCAGAGTGCTTTTTTTAGTTGTAAGATATAAGCGTCTATGTGTAAGGCTAAGGGTGACAGAAAGACCACTTTAAAAAACCTCATAACGAGTTAAATGAAATTGAAATTGTCAGGGAATTGGAGGTGAGAGAATCCTTTGTTATATCCTACCGGAAAAATCGGGTACGGATCGGAAGCTGAGCAAGCCAATAAAAGAGATGAAACCTGATTTAAAAAATAGAGAAATTGTTGAACCGCTCCAACCAAAGCCAAGCAAAGAAATAAAAGCAAATCATGCCCTCAACGAAATCTTTGTCCCCAAAAACCAATACTCGGTCACAGAAGTGGGAACGATGTGCAAAGGAGGACAATTTGGCTTCTACCAATCTTCGCACCCCAGAGAATTAAGTGTTTTGCAAAATGTTTGACAAGTGATGAGGCGTCTAAACTGCTGGATCCCCATCTAGGAAAGGACATTATTTTTAATTCATACCTATTATAAAAACACTGATCGCCTTGTCAGCAAAGCTTCTATGATCGCTACTCTTGATACATCAAACATGGTGATATACCCTACTGACTGAGGTAGGAGCTCCTCAGACTCTCTCAACGCCGCCCTCGCCACCCCCTAAAGGGCATGACCTTGAAACAAGGAGAGCAACGGCGAGCATCATTCGTGAGGCAAACTTTCCTGGTACCAACTAGTGATCTTGGTGTTTAGGAATGCAGTTCAGAACACAATATCAGAGGATGTTAGTAAGTAAGCGTT